TGATTTAGCTATTGCTGTCCAGCAGCTAGAAAATTACAGAAATTTGGTTTCTTCAGCAGTTAAGCCTGATACAGCCCCTTCGGAAACACAATTTGTAGACCCACTCACTATGGTCACTTCAAATGTAGACGCTGGCACTGAGGTCGCATCGAAAGTTGACCCAATCCCAAATGAACCCGGAGTCGGTCCTGAGGTTATCCGGAAAGCTTCCAATCAGCGCAGTCGACGCCAGCGACTGAATGAACGTCGTTTGCGCTCTCGAGTTGCCGAAGAGCGACTTAGGTTGGCCACTAATGGCCGTCGACTGGTGAGCCGACTGATTGCACTTGCCAATGGAGATCCTGCTGCTCGTCAAGGTCTACGAACTAGTTCTACGGGAACCCTTCTTTTGCCACTACAGCTATCCACTCGAGAACCGGTACACTTTTCCGGCCCGAGCGGAATTGACGAAGATGATGGTGATGCAGACGAGGAAGAGGAAGCAGTTGAAGAGGAAGAAGAAATTGTGGAAGGAGGGGAGACGCAGGTCGCTGTGGAGAAAGGTCGCGAAGTGGCAGAGGAAGAAAGCGATAAAAGAATAATGAACGATAATGGGTCCAATGAGTTAAATTCAGCTAACGATTCAACTCATTTGTCTGTGGATAGTGGCGTGGAAAGCGGACAAGCTGAGATGACTTTACCCATTTCGAGCCAGAAAGATATCGACAGTTCGAGCATATCTTCAACTCTTAGAACCTCTACTATCAGTGCTACTAATAGTTTACTGGTAGTTAAAAACTTAACTTCCGTTCCTTCTGAGCCAGCTCAATCATTGGCTCTTGGAAAGAAGCGACGTAATCCTTCTGGTGTTCTCCCTCTTCAGCGGACTGCAGTCGTCAAGAGCCGACAAATTTCTACAAGTATATGGTTTTCAACTTGATGTTTCTTTTATTATCGTTGTATAAATCTCATTGCTTATGCTTAAAACCCAGGTTTCATGTAATGTATACAATTCATATTTATTTGAAGATGGTAATCTATTAATTTGAATCAAAATTATATTATCCAGTTTTCGCAAAGCCTTCAGGATAACCCTTCTCTGTAGACAATTTATTCAGCATATCTTGTTTGCATATCACCTCTTGTATCAAAAGTTATATTTGGATGAAAAAACCATATTTAACCTTATTTGATCTTAGTATTGGATCAGTAGCACTTGACGATGAATAGGAATTTTTAGTCTAAGTATGTTTTAGGACTATTACCAATTCTTTAATAAGAACTTAAACACCTTAGGGCTTATTACTAAGTTTTCTCAGATTTGGATAAGTTAGCCTCACTATTCTATTTAATTTTACCTGTTATTGTCCTAAAAGGCTATATCATTCTGGATGGATTGTGTTTTCGACCCTGTCTAGGTCTCATTGGCACCGTCAAAGGGGGAGAGATCAATTAAATAGCATCCTTAGGCCTCGCTTCATTGTGTAAAAAAAATTATAAGTCCTTAAATCAGCTTTAGAGATCTAGAGTGTCTAAATTGTTAGTCAGAAATAAGAATAACTTCTATGGTAAAGCCAGCTTGGTAAAATGTATCTCTTTAAACATTTAATTGAACAGTCCACATCTAAATACTGATTTTATATGTCTGAGGAAGTTGTGCTGTATATCGCTAATCTAATAGCACTGATCATCTGAGTAGAATTTTTCGATTGCTTACGGATCAGCTCCTTGGCATAGTCTTTATAGTATTCCATTAATTTCTTGTTTCCCATCCTTAATTGATAACGATAAATACTTATAGAAGTTGTTTTATCTTGTTTTCGCAACTTCGTCATATTGGTAGGAGCACCTAGAGGAACGCAACTAGTCCGGAGTCCATAGTATGCATGATTATTTCCAGAGTCGGATCGTGGACATGATACATTCCCAGAAGTTTCGCATGCATCGCTGTGAGCCTTGCCAGTCTTAGCACCACACTACAACGCGTCAAAGACAAGTGAAGCTGATCCTTTGACCAATTGTCTGCTAAATAATTGTGGTATCTCTCCTTTTGCCCTGTGCTATTCCCTAATCCTATATCATTGTATTACGCCTTCACTACCACAATTTCTTAATTTCTTATTTATATGTGGTATGTTGTGCCCTTTTTTAGTGGATTTTATAAAAACTATCCTAACCCCAGACACTGGTTTTCTCACCCCCTCACCCCGTAATCCTCTTGCCATGCGTCTTATCAGAGTCTCCCTCTTGCCCCGTAGGATCCGCCTCGCTGAGCAGGCCCCTGAAAATCAGGATTCGCAAGCTCTAAGTAAGACTAACTTGAGGCTAAAGAGCCCGAGTAATTCTCATAAAGTCTTTGCTTCATGGACCACGTATATGATCAAACACTTCTACTGTTATCCAACCAGCTCTAGTCTCTGTCGCATCTATCGTGCTTCTAGCCAACCTACAAATGTTGTGGTTCTACTTGCTTTTATTAGGTTCAATGTGGTTGTGGTTCAGCTTGAGAATCCTGATTTTTTTAGAGGCCTACTCAGTGAGGCGAAAGTATGCGTGCCATCAAAGGTTTAAGACGGTATAGAAATAATGCATCGAGCAGTACAGAAAGGCTGGTAGGGGTCGAGTGAAATACTTGAACCAGGAAGGTAGAAGGCGGATCCTACGGGGCAAGAGGGAGACTGATAAGACGCATGGCAAGAAGATTAAGGGGTGAGGGGGTGAGAAAACCAGTGTGTGTTTAGGATAGTTTTTATGAAATCCACTAAAAAAGGGCCAACATACCACATATAAATAATAAATTAAAAAATTGTGGTAGTGAAGGCGTAATACAATGATATAGGACTAGGGAATAGCACAGGGCAAAAGAAGAGATACCACAATTATTTAGCAGACAATTGGTTAAAGGATCAGCTTCACTTGTCTTTGACGCGTTGTAGTGGGGTGCTAAGACTGGCAGGGCTCACTGACGACGCCTGCGAAACTTCTGGGAATGTACCATGTCCACGGTCGACTCTGGAAATAATCATGTATACTATGTACTCTGGACTAGTTGCGTTCCTCTAAGTCTTCCTACCAATATGATTAAGTTGCGAAAACAAGGTCAAACAACTTTAATTTGTCTTGAAACCTTCTGATATGGATTAAAATTAACAAAGTCGTTTATAATGGCAAATATTGGTTTGCCTCGATGACATTTTTTATAACAAGAAGCATGATGTTTCTTTAAATTCATGTCTGCTCTGTCACTTACTGGCATCCGTTATTTGGTGGTTTAGCAATAACGTTCTTAGACTTCGCGCCCACGAGCCGAGTCTGTCACCTGGTGAAATAGTTCTTTTATAAATAATTATATTCTTTATACATTTAAATTAGCTCATTATTGTAGTTTTTCAGAACTTCATGCTTCCTCTGAGCAACTTTTACAATGCTGGGAAACTCTCACGATTTCATTAACAAGCTAATTTTTCCCTGATGCTAGAATCTTTGGTTACTTACGATAGTCGTCAATCTGTGTAAAAAATACTTTTTTAAATACACATGAATAAGTCTAACAACCTTGAGCCAATCCATCACCAAATTATCGCATTTTTTGTTGGCATTCACTTAAATCCACTCAGTTTCTTCCCTTATTGTTATATTTCCATTTTTGGCCTTGCCTTGAGGTTCATTCTCTCAGCGCCTGTGGCTTAATCATTTCTAGATTTTTATAGACCGATAATGTCGGTTAAAACTTCGCAAGTTAGGGCCTCTTAAATAATTTTTGCGGCCGAATTAACTCTATATTTATTCATTTGAATTTGTTTGGTCTACTTTATTCTCCTTAAAGTTACTTGATTATATCGACTTTTATCTTCACAGAAAATTTAAGATGCTATTTTTGAAACCATTAGAGTTGACTTGCTGTTGTCTTTTCCAGATCTCCCTAAGATCAACCTCAAGTCAGTTAACCTGATGCGTATTCCACTTTCTCTGCCGGTTGTCGATAATATGGGTGGCGCTGGAAGTGGCGAAAGCAGCTGCACCAGCGACGTTGATGATGGTGAAGGAGTGCTCGACGATGCTGCTTCCGATTCTACAGGTGCTGGTGGTTCTGATGGTGACTACATGACTTCCACTTCAAGCGGTGGTCTTA